AGCAGATTCTTTTAAATCCTGGAAGTTGCGATGTTGGGCCTCCATGGCTCATATTTATTGTACAAGCACATCCCACAGTTGCTCAGTTGGATTGAGATATGGGGAATTTGAGGAACGTGACACAGAGTTCAAGGTGCTGCCTTCCTGACCATCCCTTAAAAAATTTCTCAGTGTGGTAGGGTGCATTATCCTGCTGAAAGAGGTCACTGCCATTGTGGAACAGCATTGCCATGAAGGTGTGCGGTACGTGTCAAAGTAACATCTACATAAATGCCAGGAACTAGCAGAATATTGCCCAGAACATAACACTGCCTCTGCCGGCCTGCCTTCTTCCCTTTGTTCATCCTGCTGCCATCTCTTCCCCAGGTAAAGAATGCACGCCCCTAGCCTTCCACCTGATCTAAAAGAAAACCTGTTTTATCAGACCAAGCAACCTTCTTCCCTGGTGCTATGGTCCAGTTCTGTCACATCCCCACTGAAGGCAATTTTGGAGGCGGACGTGGGTGGTAATGGGCACCCTCACCGGTCTGCCGCTAAGCAGCAAACTACAATGCTCTGTGTGTTCCGACACCTTTCTATTATGGCCAGCATTAAGTTCAGCAGTTTCAGCAATTTGAACTGAAATAGATTTTCTGTGTGATTGGTCTAGATGGTCAAGCCTTTGCTTCTCACATGCATCAATGAGCCTTTGACACTCATGAACCTGACATTGGGTTGGCACTAAGCACTGCATACTAGGAACACCCCACAAGACTTGACATTTTGGAGATGCTCTGATCTAGTCGACCAGCCATCACTATTTGTCCCTTGCTCATTTTTCCTGCTTCCAACACTTGAAATGCAAGAACTGACTGTTCGTTTGCTGTTGTAATGATCTAATCAGTTATTCACTTCACCTGTCAGTGGTTTTAATGTTGTGGCTGATCAGTGTATAGTCTCATGCTGTAGGCATCTATTGCACATAACTTAAGCTCCAGTTACTTGCCATGTTTTGTCAGAAATCATACATCCCATTACTCCTTTGTTTTATGATATTTTTACATAAGGCACAGTATATGTTCTCCTGTAGCAAATTTCTTGATGGTTTTGAATTCCAGATTGGTTGAAATTTTTTTTAATTTTTTTTCACTTCTACTTTACATTAAACAATTAATTGTGAATTACAAAGTCAAACCATGAAAGCAAATTTAGATACATTTTGTCCTTTCTTAACCACTTATTATTTTTATTTTTTTTACTGTATTAAACCACATTGTGTCATTTGTCATACCGACACATGCTTGCTATAACCTATCAGTTCTTATCTAACAGAATTTCTGTTCTCACGCAGATCTTTTTCTTCTGCTTCAATTTTTTGAAGCACATAATTTCTGACGAGTTCTCCTCAGCTGGGAGGAAAGTACGGTAAGTATACACAATACAAATTTGAAATAGTTGATATCTTGGTGATAGAGTGTGTGCCATTAGTCCTCTGCTGCCCTGACCTAGTTTATTAAACATATTCTCCGCTGGAAATCTTCCGCATGAGTGTTCTGGTGCAGTAGAAAAAGTAAGTTTAAAAATTAAGAAATAGTCAGGCATTTCTGTTGTACTCGTTAAATGGACTGTATATGTCAACATTTGGTCCTTCCATAGCAATGCAAACCAGACAGCTCATATGGGAAATTATACCTTAAAGGGACACTATAGGCACCCAGACCACAGCTCTCATTGAAGTGGTCTGGGTGCAGTGTCCCAGGTCACTTAATCCTGCAAAGGTAATTTATTGCAGATCTTTAAGAAACTGTAATAATTCGCTTGGTGGGTTAACTCCACCTCTGGTGGCTTTCTACCCGCATCCACTAGAGGGACTTCCGGCCCAGTGGGGGACTTTTGGTATGCATGGGATGTCCAGCGTCACCCAAAACCTATAGAAAAGCATTGTATAATGCTTCCCTATAGGGGACATCTTAATGCTAGAGCTGATGACCTAGGCGGACTTGCGCCAGCACTGAGGGACGTCGCGCTGGGCTGAGGTAAATGACAGAAGAACCACTTTGTTTTCCTGGTACTATAGTTTCCCTTTAGGAACTTATATAAAAATTTCCATTGCCTTTAAGTACATTTAAAGGGCACCCCATAGTTTACAAATTCACAAGTAAAATAATGTTTCTGAGGCAAATGTCCAGGTTTTAATCGAATTCTGTTGCTTCCTTGAGGTTGTGTTTGAGTCTTATGTGTTTTGTATCCCTTTTGTAAAGCAATAGTTTATGGAAAATCTATTGAAACAGACAAATGCAGCAATGGCTGTGGGTGTAGCGTGGGTTTACTTCTTCATGACTTAAGGCAACACTGGTCAGGCTTTAAAGAAAATCTACAGTGATACATTATTTGCTAGGATTCTCTAGTGCTGGAGGGAATTTTGTCAAAGTGCAAATGGATTTAGAACTTTCATTTGTAAATACTTTGCATCTGACATCATGACATTGAAGAGGTTGCAATCATGGTGTTTGCCAATCTTGCCGAAGATACAGCAGTTGGAGCTTTAATTGCTGTGCTGTTTCAATGGTTTGCATACATGCATTTAAGTTCTGTTTCTGTCCATCAGGCGGAAAAGTTCCAGAGAACCTGCTTTATCGTTGGAAGACTTCTGCATGTTGAGTAGGTGATTCTTAAGCATAAGAATATCTTTTGAAATGGCTAGTATAATGACTGGCACAACTATGCTTAAACTATTAATCAAATGTTATACTCTGAATTAAAAAAACAAAACAAAAGGTACGTCTATTTATATTGTAGTATAGAAGTAATACTGTTGATATGCATTTTTATTATCAGAATTCCACAGCTAGAGTATTCAAAATATAAAAAATATTGATTCTCATGGCCAACTTTCTGGTTGCCTTGGAGACAATTGACGAGCAGGAGCTACTTTCTCAGGGGGTTGGCTGGGAATCTGTTAATGAGCAGGGGCCTTCCCAGGGGTGTTTTGCACCTATTGGCAAACAAAGGATTCTACTTGGTTATCTGGACGTCTATTGACAAGGAGGGATTACTTTCATTACCTATTAGTGAGCAGGTACCTTTATTGGCAACAAGGGGCCACTTTCTCATTTAGTGAGGAATGCTACTTTCTGGGGTTGCCTGGACATCTGTTTCGTAGACAAATGGCTTTGAAATTTGAAGAAGAAAAATATTTGAATACTAGTTAGGCAACAACTTTTTGACTGAAATTACGATTTTCCTAAAACTCTCCCCACTTGTAATGTATTTTTTTATTTTTTTATTTAAAGCCATCTCCTGCATTATTATTTATTTATTCCACCCGCTCCCCCCCTGTCCTTACACAACATATTTATGACTCTCTGTGACGATGGCGTCTATTTTCTGTTGGACATGTTAATGTGCCCTTTAACCCCAGTATCACAACTTAACGTTAAATTATGTGTCTTTTTTGCTCAGAAATGCTTTAGACTTAAGTAAGGGAGGTTCTCCCAGAAGCTTATCATTCCAAAATTCTGTTAGTCCAATAAAGGTATTACAAGATATTAATTTCATCCGTTAATTTACATCTGCATCACTGGACTAATGGGCTACAATCTCTACTCGAACACTATGTGAGTCTTGGTCCTTGTGAGCAGCTATAAAATGTTTTTTCTTTATTTCAGAACGCAGAGATCGGGGCAGCGCCACTAGTCTCAGCAGCGACTTCTCTGTTATTACTGAAGATTTAGCTGGTTCTTCTGCAAACACGAACACCGAAATGGTAGATGCTGTGACCTCTGGAGCCCAAGGCCATGCAGTTTGGTAAGATATGGATCTTCTGCCTATATTACGTATTTCTAGCTAGCTGATATCTTTTAGGATCAGGGGGATGCTTACAATTTTAAATAGTTCTATAATTCCACTTCCCAGTGTGTGAAAGGCTAAACTGGCCAGTTACATATGCAATCAATCTAATATATGTAAAAAAATAAGTCCCTTCTGTAGACCATACATCGTTTCTTTTCCATGTGATTTGCAGTTTGGTCATTTACAAAGAATTGGGCTTCTGCATTCTTATTTTCACTCTTAAGATCTCTGCTAACTCTTATTCCTAGGAAACGAACACACATTTCCTCTCCCCAATCTGTGGTTTGGAGTAAATTGCCATACTCTGCAGAGGAACGACTGCTGCAGCCAGCTGTGATTGAAGCAAAGTCTTCTAGTTCTTCTTCTTCTAACCATTCTGACCACTTCCTGCGAGCCGGAAGCAGCCCTCTGGAGGTGCCACAACGCAGGTGGGACATGGGACCTGCCTTTGGCCTGTACGTTGACTTTTACATTTTATTGCTTGCTTTCTCCACAACAGCATTGGTGGGTAATTTCATTCTTCAAGTGAATAACCAGACAGGATTTAAGGAGCTCCAATTGTTAAGCATAAGAATATCTTTTGAAATGGCTAGTATAATGACTAGCACACCTATGCTTAAACTAATTAAAGCGGTATGTCATGCTGAACTTGCCTTTCTTTAAACCATTCCTCTTCTCTCCCTCTCTCAGGATCTGTTCTTCATTTCTTCCTGTCTGCTCTAGTTTTCTTTAAAACATAAGACAAAATAGGGGCTACTTTGTCTTCTGAAGGTTTCCAACGCCTGACCAGCGGAGGAGCAAAGTGTGCTTCATTTCCGGTGGTCGGAGCAATTTTCCCACAATTATCACCTTTGATTTGTGATCTTGTGATGCTTCCTATCAGTATTCCCGAACGTTCTGTCACTTAGACAGAACACCGGCGAAACTACCAAATTTCGTCTTAACAGAATGAGAACAGTTTCTCCATTCGTGTTAGGATGCATTTCGGGACTTTGTTCGTATCGGAATTTCATTCGGATGAATGAAACACCGATCCTGTTCATTGCTGCGACTGCATCTTGCAGCCGCTTAGTAGATAACTCCCTAATTCCCATGGTATTAGGGAGCTATCTACCAAAAGGCTGAAAGACCTAAATTCAGCCTTTTGGTAGATAGCTCCCTGATACCGTCTTTCAGACAAATTTACTAATACTAAGTAAAGATTACTTAGTAAATTCTGGCATGCCTAGGGAGTATGTCTAGTAAACCACTGTTTAAAAAAAACAAAAAAAACCCAACAACCTTAGTGTCCCCCCACCCGTGGCGCGCAATTTGGGGCTATTAAACTGAATTTGGGACCTATTGCCCCCCCCCACCCCTGAGCGGCGGGTGGGGTCCAAACTAACCATAAGAGGGGTGGAACCTATTGAGCGTGGGAAAGTTCTTTGGAATTTTCCCATGCTGTGTAATTTGACTCATAACTCTGGTTGTTTGATAGCACGGGAGGGGGGACACTAGAGTTTATTTAATTTTTTTTTATTTTTTTTAAACCGCCATAGGCTGCTCACTGTTTACTAGACATGCCCCTACACGCGATATATAGCGAGTAGGGGCAGAATTGACTAATGCAAAGTAATCTTTACTTTGTATTTGTAAATTTGTCTGAAAGACCAATTTAGGTCTTTCAGCCTCTTGGTAGAAAGCTCCCTGATACCGTGGGAATTAGAAGTTGGCTACTAAGCGGCTGCAAGATGCAGCCGCAGCACGAATAGGTTCAGAGTTTCATTCATTAGAATGAAATTCCGATACGAACAAAGTCCCGAATTGTGTCCTAACATGAATGGAGAAACTGTTCTCATTCTGTTACAACAAAATTCGGTAGTTTCGCCGACGTTCTGTCTAAGTGACAGGACGTTCGGGAGTTCCTACTTTGTCTTTTGTTTTAAAGAAAACTAGAACAGACAGTGCACTTGTCGTTTCTCGATGTATGATATAGCAGGAAGTGCTAGCATATAGTTGTAATATAAACTAAGATTTCCCCAGCCTTTTGTGAAATGTCTTACTTTGTATTGGGATCTAGTCCTTTTGTGGAGTTTAGTGAAGCAATAAAGGCTAACTAATATAAAGGTAGCTATATATTGCATATAAATATCCTTAAATACTATCCTGTCTTGTGGCACCTGATGACTAGAATTCTCACCACGGCATGTCTGATATTGTATAACCAATATTGCAGAGCATGATATATTACTCTGATCTGTGAGTGTGTGGGTATTTCACAGGCTAATTTGTTAATGCATCAAAGGAACTCTAATGTATTGGGACTTAAGTGGTATTTGAGAATGCCGGCAAAATGCCTTTGAGGGAGGGAGATCATATTTGTTGTGTGTGCTAGCTACTGATAGATTGGCAGGGACATGGCAAGACTCCTCAATCACACAGTATTTCCATTTTGTGTCCAAGCTTCTCTGAATGGGTCTGGGATCGGAAAGCTTGGCCATGCCTCTGCTGTTCTGTAACAGCAAGGACACACCATAATAGTAATGGTCAATGGTTAGAGCAAGAATTTCCTGGGATCACTTCCTGCCCCATAGGTGTAACTGGTGATGACATGAGGAGAGAGGCAAGGGCTATGGGAGGCCCCCAGAGCCGATGCTCTCCCTTGCAGGGCCGTTGCTATCCAAGCGCCGGCACTGCTGTGTGCCTTCAAATACGTGTTTGTGTTTTGTTTTTTTTTATAATTTTTTTTTTTTCTTTTAATTAAAAAAAAAAAAGTATGCTTTAAATCCTCTCATCCCTGGGCAAAGCTAAGAAGGGAGGGGGGGATATGAAGCATATATATTTATATTTTTTTTTAATCAGCCCCCTCCCCCAACTACACACACTGCCAAACCTCCCCAATCCCCCTCCCCCCCCACCACACACACACACTGCCTCCAAGGTATCCCATACACACAATGTCTCACATATTCACACCTACCTACCTAGAGACCCTATCCTGGCAGACCCCAGGTAAATTGTCAAACTATTTATTTTTAAACGGTTTGACTATTTACTCTGGGAGGGCACCACGGCACTCATGGCACCATAACCCCTACAGAGAGCTGTAGTGGTTATTGTGCCTGGATTGTTTTTTTTTTTTTTTAAATCTGAGTGCTCCTCCCAAGAAAAGGCTCTGGATCCGCCAGTGGCACATACATAGTGCTCTTGAGACAAGACACAGGTGTAGCAGGATATGGGGAGTGATATACAGTGTCTAGGTGAAAGAGACTGACATGGTAATGGGGTGAGAATGGCAAGAGACACAGGGTTACTGGGAAGATGTATTGTAGTAAATATAAGGTAGGGTTTGTAATTGGGAGAATAACACTAGGGTATTGGTTGAGGAATGAACTGAAGCTGGCAGACTCGAAGTAAAAGAATGATAACCATTGGGAATGATTTTGTGAATATGGTACAGTGTGCCGTGAACAGGGTTAATCTGATGCATTTTAGAAATATTAGTGTGGGAACTTTTATAGTGGATCCAGAAGAGGTATGTACTGAAATGGATGGTAAAAATATTATGCTTGCTTATACCTTGTATTCAACAGGTATTTATCAGTTGCGTGGAATGGTGTATTATCAACTAGAGTGTGATGGGGATTTTTAACAGAGGGACAATGATTGAATGAATGAGTTTGTGAGAGCAGCAGAATAAGTGGAAAAATAGAGGTAGATGAAAATATCCTCTTCTTTTGTTATGAGTGTGGGATGTTCTTTTTATGAGCATGTCTTCAGGAGATGTTTCAGTTTTAACTTGCACAGAGGGTTGTCCTTAAAAAATAAAGTATTTTCCCAGCCCTGACTGGAACTGGACATGTTGATGGCAAAATGGTTACTTGCTTGTAGGAAGGACAATTTCAGAGATGGCTAAGAGTTTGTGACATGGTGAAATCTGTTAATCTCTTGAGTATGTACTCAATGGACATTCTTGGCAGACTAATTTAATAGGCACTAAAGTAATCTGTGACCACCGCTCCCGTTTTGTATATTGATGTACTATAGCGGTTTTCAGGATCCTTTGCATTTATCCACTTTTAAGACCAATGATATTTCATGCTATCATTGCAAACTTACCCCTGCAGACTTTATACATTATATAAATATCCTGCTTTTGTAGATCTTTATAGTCCTCCAACATTATGCCAAAATGGAACAACCCAATTATTTAAGTCTGGATTATGGTGAAAGACTAATAATGGAATAATTCTGTCAAAGGGTAAAAGCAACACTATTCAAAAGGCCATGGTCATTTTATAAAAGTGGAGCAATTGCAATGGTAAGGACTATTTTAGAACTATGCCCAAACAAGTTATTTGCTCTAAGCACTTCTTCCCCACTTTGTTTATTTTTTTTTTTTATTTTTTTTTCAATTTATCTTTTATTGACGCAACAGTATATAGAAGTTGAGATTAGTACAGAGAATCATTTATCAAAACAAAGTAAAATAATAAATGAAGTCACCTCCATGGTGGGGACCACCTCTGTATAGAGTAGTCAGCAGCTTAACTGTAATTATATTTTAAACGAGGAGGGTGGGGCAAAGGGGAAAGGGGGTTAGGCACTCATTATAAAAGTGTTTTTTTTTTTTTTTAATTCAGTGAACTTGGTTACTTGAAAGACCCAACACTTTGTCTTTTAATTAAATTTATTCAGGATGCTGAAAACAAACAAATGACCAGGCCATCAAGGGTAAAACCATTCCGATTGTATAGTAATGTCATTGAAAATGACTGGTCTTTATGGTTCGTGGCCAGAATAGAAACACAATTCCTAAATTTCTGTACCCTTGGGCAAGAACAGACCTTGCTGTAAACCTTGTTATTTTTATTACTATTTTAGGATGTGGCGTGCAGAAATAGATAATTTGCTTCTGAATCCTCCTTTCTAACACAGTCAGACTTTCTCTGTCCCTCTAAGACCAATAGGTTGCTTAGTTTACCAAGCAAAAATATTTTAATACTCATCGAAAATATGTCTACTAAATTTCCAAGCTGAGATATGACTTGTGTCCTGGAGGATGTCCTTGGATTTATCCCCCCCCCCCTTCCTCCCCCCAACCTCCCTTTTTTCTTTTTAAATTTGGAGTGAAATAGTATGCATGTAAAGCACTATATAAAAAAAAAAAAATCACATATCAAAACAGATCTGCTTTGTACATATTATTGCCATTTATATAGCGCCAATATATTTCATCGCGCTTTACTATATTATATAATGGGGAGATTTAACAATAAATAAAATTTCTGCTCAGTCTGCAGCGGTTAATCAAACTGTTTCAATTGCAGAGAAATATTTGGAGTCCCATATTGCCAACTCTAAATTAAATAGATGCAAATGACTGTGCATGTGCAAAGCATGCATATCTAACAAATGTTAATATGTATAGTGTTAAAGATCAATTTTGGGTGTGTGCATGTATGTGTTTAAAATGTGTATTTGGATCTCGTATTGGTAAATATAATGTGTGCAGTATGTATACAATGAGATTGTGTGTTCAGAACCCTACAAAACCTCTGAGAGACAGTAAGCTTATTTTCTTGTGTGAACTGCAAAATAACCAAATGTCTTTTCTTTAGAGACTCTTCTTGCCCACCCATTTTTATCTATATATTGATTTGCCCTCTGGCAGCCCGGGCTGTGATGCATGTAAAATGTTGTGATTTGTTCTACAGAGGGTAATCTATATAAATATTACCAGCCTCCGTATTACAGCAACACAATTGGTCCTGGATCCCTTCTGATTGCTAAGCTTTGCAGTGTACCTCGACCCAGATAGCTGTATGCTTTTGTGATGGCGAATAGCTGTCTACTAGATTATGACTTCTAATTTTACTGCTACCTGAGAGCGTTGCTCCCATAAATCTTCTGCCTGCTGGTGTTTGTATATGTCAGTGCTGGACTAGCAAGGACACATTTCTGCATTGAGGAGATGTGAACTTGCCAGGTAGAAGTAATTATGCAGGTAAAGTGACTTGCAGCTCCACAGAAGGCTATTGACCGCTCCTAGCTAGATGAGAAATATTCTGTAATACTGGACACTAAACGAGGGACAAATCTTTGATTTGTCCGTTCTCCGTGTTCTCTGCACCTTGCTTTAGCCCTCTTTGTACAGAAGCACTACTTATCTGCTAAAAATGGAAGATTGTTTGAGCGGGCCAAATACTGTTGCTGAATTTAATAGAGAACTAAAACCGAATGGAAGTTTAGACATCCACTTTCTCTGTTTCAAAGTTCATAAATTGGACACAAACTATCAGAACTACTGCTGTGTGTTAAATGTTCTCCTTGTTTCCATGGCGATTGTCCCACCTTTTAATAATTTTCACTGTTTTTCAGAACTCCCCAATGATTTTATTAACACTAAAGGATTAGTGTTAATAAAATCCTCAACTATTTTTTAATATAATGATCTTTTATTCAGGATATATATATATATATTAGTATGACAGAATAAAAAACAGACTGTCTCTTTTCAAACCCTCTCTTATCTTTGATATTCCTCAAATCACACTGACCATGAGATATAATCCTGTTTTCCTCTATTAAATCCTAGGCAACAATATTACTGTTACAGTCCCACTATTTCACAATTTAATGGTAGTGCCCTTTTGGTTTTTTTTGTTTCTGTTTTTAATTTAAGCCACTTCTACTTTAATTATCCCCCCCCCCCTACTCTCCCCCTGATAACTTTTTCAGCTTCATAAAATTTTATTTCATTTTAACTTTTTTGTTCTCTTCTTCATAAAGTTTCACCTTTTTCAATCAAAAATTTATATTGGGTTAAACTTTGATGTGTTTATATCACTTGCTTTTGGCTGCAGAGTTTACTTTTTAAATTTTTTTTTTTTTTTTTTTTAAATGGGAAGGCCCATTTTGATGCACTAACCTGTGGCACACTGAGGTCTTTACTGCTTTTTTGGTATGCTGGTACTTGCATGGTTCTTGGCTTTGCTATACTTCATTGGACTTCTTAAAGTTTTAACTTTTGGAGGTCTTCTTCGTATCCAGTCCACCACATCTTCCTTCTGGTGACCACATAGCTTAACATACCACATTCTCTTCAACTGGTGGCAGAATAGCTTTTGCAGGTGGCATCTCCAGAGGCCTTAACAACTGTTCTTTCAGTAGAAGACTCTTATTCCATCATCTTCCTCTTTCTTCGCCTCAGATCTCCAGACCTGTCTCAGCCTGGATCTTCCGTCTCTACAGATTATGGAAGCTGGCAGATGGTAACAGAGGGTGGGAGTGTACATGACCATGGTATCCTGAGTGCAAGCGCTTTCCTTCCCTTCAGCTTCTCTGATGAGCACCCTAACAATTGCCCGTAAGTGGATCCAAAATATCAGATGCTCAAATCTTATTTTTAACCCCATGAGGGTGAGCATTCTGGCTGTTTTTAACATGTAATGTCCAACGTTCTTAATATTTACGATAATTATTGCTTTAATATCTGAAATTGGCCAATCAAACAATTATTTGTCAAATCAGGTTTCTCCAGCAAATCATCCCTAAAACCTATGTTTAAGGAAACTTAGATCTTGATTCTCCAAATTTTGTAAAAATGTTTATCGCCTAATTAATTGCATATCTGTATATTGTATTTTGAGAAAATTTGTAATATTACTTTAGAATAGGGTAAATGTTAATTTGTATCCATAAACTCCTCTATTCCCATTCCACAGCAAACACATGTTACAATAGACCATGCCTCCTACAGGTAGCACAGGATGAGCATATTCCTATGAAACGATCTCCCCAAATGGTCATCATCTTTCCTGTCCTGCTTCAGATAGAGTTGGCTGAAGCATCAGATGCATTTTATTAATCTTTCCACACAGTGGCAGTACCTGTGGGATTTGGGGTTCTTAATCCTGGTGGATGAGTACTCTTGGAAATCAAGTTAAAATAATAAAATGGTTCCTCCCTCTGATACTTTTAAAAGGTTGTCCCAGACTGAGCCCAGTTCTAATTTTGACTGGTGCTTCTGGGGCCGGGGATGGTGAAACACATGGGCTGATGCCTAATGGCTAAGCTGCATGGTGTTGATCTCTGGAGCATCCGGCGGAGGATGTTAAGAGGTGTACCAATCACCTTACCGACCTGGAGTCTGTGTACAGTGGTGGAATGCATGCTCGGGCAGCCTTCCTCTGATATTCTGATTTGCGCTACTGTACATGCTCAATCTAATTTCAATTTTGGCGCAAAATCTGAATTACGCTTAGCCTATTTATATTGTACTGGTCCCTTTTTTTTTTTTTTTTTTAAAGTTCTTTAAGGAATCGGTGATTTAAATCCAAAGAATCTGTATTTGTCCAGGACCGATCGATTTAGACGTAGGAAAAACAGGTCCTCTTCTCAGTTGGATTTATGTTCTGGTGAATGTTGCCACGTGTCTCTGAGGCCTCTACATAGAATTCTAGTGTGGAAGCAGGTTTTTCCACCTGACGAACTGAATAGATTCATTAAAAATATTATGGTGGTTACAGAATAAAGGGATTCTTCTAGAAAGAAAGGAAAAGGCTTTTCTGTAAATTCCAAACTTCTGGAGTTAGTACATAGAGTATGGAAAAACACAGAGAAAATGGCATTCATTTCCAAACATTTTTTTTATTACAATTTTAAATTACATGACACAGATAATAGCCCAGCTTTCTTAAGACCACTTTGTCCATTTGGGTCCTTGAGACCACTACTTAACCAAATCGGTAAACAGCCTGAAACTTCTTGTACAAGGTTATTTGAAGCAGCAGGCTTTCAATGCAAGGCATCCGTAGCTGAGATCACAATAACAAGTGCACAAAACCTTTTGTCAGTAATCACTAGAAAAATCTATTTTAAATGGGTCTAAAAGTTAGGTCACCTGATCAGAAACATAAAGATTGCGAATTGATTTTTGTGCAATATGTCTGAGAAGGTTCTCAAGCTTTCAGCACGCAAGATGGGTTTGTCATCTTTTGCCAAAAGTGCTATATGACTCTGATTGTGGACGCAGACACAGCATCTAAATCTGCCTTTTGTGAATTGCCCTTTGAGAGAAATACGTTGTGTGACTATGCATTAGAGAAACTTGTAGAGAAACCAATGTCTGACGCCAAGAAGGTTCTACATCAAGACCTCTGGAAATATGAGACTCCAATTTCGGAATTAAAGGTTGTTTCAATATAATAACCGATCTCTTTGGAGATAGACACATGACTTTAGGTTCAGTGAGGATAAACGCCAGGTACATGAGACCAGCTCCATGCAATAACTCTCAAAATCAGCCAAAATCGGGGCAAAACCCCACCTAATCGACTGTTCGGCGACCTGGAGAAGGGAGCCCTCAAACTGCAGAGCCAAGTGCCAAGCAACCTGACCGAAATTAGAGGCTCCTAACTGGGGATAGACCAGAGGCCTATTAGGACAAAGCGAGGGAGGCGGCCGATCCCTAGGCCGACTGCAGCCACTCACCTGGAGGTCTCTCCGGCATACTCCCTCCCCCCCGCCGATGAGGGTCATCCCGGCAACTAAAGCATGAGACACAGCGGCAAAACCACAGCGGTGACTGTCCCACACAGCTGGAACAGCATCAATAATCATGGCGGTCACCACGAGTAACCCTCTGTACAGCGCCCCCTGGTTGGAAAGGTTGGATCGCCTGTTCTCCACCTTTTGGGCCAAAATATACCAAAGGGGAGGCACAGAAGTGGAGACCCCACCAGCAGCATCCCAAGAAGAGGCCAGGCAGAGATCCGCTGCTCCTGTGCGGGGCAACAGCAAAGCTAAAATGGTGGGAGGGAGGAGGTGGACGACCCAACGCAAACCTAGACACCGCAGACCAAGACTAGCGGTGAGTCGTCCTACCCCAATCAGGGGCTACCCCTTCACCACACTACGGACGACCAGCACCCACCATGTGGACCTACAGCGGAACCTTGCCGCACACCCACATCGCCCCTGAGAACTCCTACCCAAGAGACTGACCTGCCTCACGCTGACGACCAAAGCGGCTCCCAGTCGGTCACCCTCTCCAGCTACAACACCCCTGCTCAAGCGGGGCATTGGCTGAAATGACCACACCATCGAGGCACCAGCCCCCCACCGCGCGCTGCAGGCAGGTCGGAAGATTGGCACACAAACCCCACACACTCGCACGCTGGGACTCTCTCCTGCAGAGACCGTTGATCTGGTATTGCCTGATACGCACCCCTAACATGACTTTGCGCAGCATCTTATAATGTATAACGTGTAATGCTCATTTATTTAACACGTAACCTATGCGAGAACCTTAATGCATATTGAAATCACTAACGACCAGGACTTTAGCGCAGATCATATGTTGTTTTAAGGCACTCTGTCCTAGCTAATTGTGTACCCTGAACAGCATCATCAACATATATACACATAAATGGGCAATATCACCTAACGCCTAACTAATGCACCAGGCTAAAATAACTGCCCACCCAAGCTGAGTTAGTAATGTAAACCTGAGTAACAACGCTCTTATCTTTAGAACTAACCTCCTGTGAATCTCCTGTTATTTCATGCTACTTATGTTCCCCTGTTCTAACTAACCTTGCACCTCACCTTCTCAGATAGGCAGATCAGGAGTAAATACTTGACAAGCGACGTTAATGTATATAAAAAGAAAAATGTGCAACACCCACTAATGCCTAATTAATGTAAAACCATGAAAATAACTGCTTGACCTTGCTGTCGAGGCATTGTAAGCCTGATGTGTCTTTTCCCTGCACAAATAAAATAAAGAATTAAAAAAAAAAAAGCCAGGCAGGACAAGGTGTTGATACCAAGAAATTAGGAGGAAGATTACAAGGGATTTTTAATATGTGTGAGCAGACTACAGAAAAGCTGTTGGTCTTGCATGCTATCAGAGACAGAATGGGATTAATAGAAAAACATGCTCCAAATTTATTTTGTGCTTGCTACCATTCAAGATAAAAAAAAAAAAAAAAAAACTCTACTTACCAGGGCACTTAATCTGTTAACATAGAATGTGACGGCAGATAAGAACCATTCGGCCCATCTAGTTTGCCCAATTTTCTAAATACTTTCACTAGTCTCTGGCCTTATCTTATAGTTAGGATAGCCTTATGCTTATCCCACGCATGCTTAAACTCCTTTACTGTGTTAACCTCTACCACTTCAGCTGGAAGGCTATTCCATGCATCCACTACCCTCTCAGTAAAGTAATACTTCCTGATATTATTTTTAAACCTTTGCTCCTCTAATTTAAGACTATGTCCTCTTGTTGTTGTGGTAGTTTTTCTTCTTTTAAATATAGTCTCCTCCTTTACTGTGTTGATTCCCTTTATGTATTTAAATGTTTCTATCATATACCCCATGTCTCTTCTTTCCTCCAAGCTATACATGTTAAGTTCCTTTAACCTTTAGTTTTTATTCTGCAATCCATGAACCAGTTTAGTAGCCCTTCTCTGAACGCTTTCCATAAAAAAAAAAAAAGGAATAGAGTGCATTCCCAAACAAGAATTCAAAGGGGTTTATTCATGGTTGTTCCTGGTTGCAAAGCAAGTTTTTATTCCGGCTGGTGCTAGACTTAAAAAGGGTTAACGCCTGTATTCAGTACCAAATTCCATATGGAAACTGTGACGGAGCTCCCTGTACCCCAGCTGGGTACCTCCGCCGAGTCCTCTTCCTAGCTGCTTGCAGGGACCCTGGAACGCTTCTGCCCCTGTCGTCGCAGCTTGACTTGGGGTCCTTCTGTAGCTTTTGCAACCGACCTGGCAGCAGCTATCCTTCCAGGCAGGTATCGTCCCCTCTGCCTATTCCACTGCACCCCTTCTTCCATGCAGGTAAAGTCTCCACTGCAGTTCTGCTTACAGTGATTATACTTATTGCCTTTACAAAGGCAATTGCGGCTCTCAGGCTTAGATCTCTTGAATTATCCCAGGGCTAGAGGGATCCTGCAACCAGCAAACCGGTCCGGTACTGTCCCTAGGATCCCTAAAAATCCACATAGGACACAAGTTTCAACAGGGACTGACATCCGAAACTTGTTTACTTGGAACTAGCCCAAATGATGGTTACATAGTTACATAGCTGAAAAGAGACTTGCGTCCATGAAGTTCAGCCTTCCTTACATTTTGTTTTTTGCTGTTGATCCAAAAGAAGGCAAAAAAAACCCAGTTTGAAGCACAATTTTGCAACAAGCTAGGAAAAAAATTCCTTCTTGACCCCAGAATGGCAGTCAGATTTATCCTTGGATCAAGCGGTTATTACCCTACATTGAAAGATTATATCCTTGAATATTCTGTTTTTGCAAGTATGCATCTAGTAGCTGTTTGAACATCTGTATGGACTCTGATAAAACCACCACTGTAATATATACATTGCTGTGACAAACCTAATAAAATTCAAATAACCAAAACATGTCACAAAATATACAGGAAATTATAATAACATAACATTTTTATAAAGGGGTGGGAAAGACAATATTAAACACAAACATCTCTCCTGTTTGCAGAAACAGCATTATGCAAATATACCTGAATATGCAAATTAACCAGCCTTGCTATTCAGGTAGTGCATATTGCTGCTACTACCAACAGTGGGCACTACAGAGGCTCAATAGCCAAATTCACCTAGTTGGTAGCATTTCTCAGCAATAGTATACGCACACATTATAAACCTCCTACACCTATAATGGGCACAGGGTGACTGATACATAGGAGCCATTTAGGAACCATTGTAAAGTGTCCTTCTGCTCCCAGTGATGGTGACTAGCGTCACAGTAACCATCCGATCAGTCACTCATGCTTCAAAAAGATTATATGCCTTCTCTGGACTAGGAACTACCATAGGAACATGTAAGTAGGCATATTTTAAGAAAGTATTTAAGGTTCGCCATCAATGCAGGAAAGAAAATCCGGCACTTCCAGTTCAAATCCTTAGCATTGCCTCGCATCTGGACCAAGAATTTTGCAAATAATTCTCCTTCCCTTGGCTGTATATCACTGAGAAATAGGCATTCCCATTGTTCCCTATTTGGACGTTTTGGTTCCTCAAAGTCCGTTCCAAAAACTAGAAGAAATCTCCAATCCACAATTCAGTTGTTAAACTATCAACTGAAAAAAATCTCTGCTCTCTCCTACAACAACAATCCAGTTTCTGGAACTTTTGATTAATCTCCATGTCCCTTTCTCAATTTCTGCACTCTCAAAAGATCATGAAGATCAGAAAATAAGCTTTGTTTTTTACTTGGAAAAAAAAGCAAGTTGTACCATCAAGAAAGCCATGCGATTGCTGTGCATCCTCATTTCCTCTATTCCAGTGGTACAGTGGGTAAGAGCACAGATGAGACCTAGCCAATGAAAAATCCTGCAGAATGAATTGGGTTTCCAGATACTCTTCCCAGTCTGTCAAAGTCAGAAATCCACTAGATTGGAGTAAATCAAAGTCTCTGTTCCAGGACTTGCCTTTCCAGCAAATGTAGTGGATTACTTTTACAGTATAATCCTCAAAGGTTTGGGGCATTTATCTAAAAATCCTACTTCGTCAAGGCATTTAATCTGAAAGAGGAGAAAACCCCATCCTCAAATTATCAGGAGATGAAGGCAGTTTTAGCACTTCTAGACATTCGAGCCATGGATCACACACAAAGCAGTCTGAATTTAGTCTGTTTATAAAAGTGACTCTTGTGATATTGTTAACCAAGGTGGAACAAAAGTCAGATATCTGTATCTCCTCTGCCAGATATAGATCTAATGGTACCAAGGAAAAACTGGAAGGTACTGGACAGACCATCTTCAGTTTTGGGACGGTCTCTCTGTGAAATGGAACTTCAGGATTGCAAATGTATTCACTCAAGTTCCTCTTATCTCCCATATCCTTCAAAAGATCAGAGCAGGCAGGGCGATAGTGTTGGCAATAATACCATATTGGTTACATCTCAGTTGGTTTTCGGAACTGAAACAACTAACCCGAACATCTTGGAAACTTCCTCTATCAAATCAATTGTTGGAGAACTGAGAACTTCCAAACAAGACTCTGGGATTGTTCATGTTGATGACTTGTTTATTGCAATGCTATATTTTCAAAATCCAGTGATTCAAGACCATAAGGTTGATTTCCTCCTGAATTCAACTAGAAGGTCAACATTCAAGATGTATTTCCGGATATGGAAGAAATTTTTTGTCTAGTATAAGAAACATACTTTGTACATCCGTTCATCCATTCCTACCATCCTGAATATCCTGCAAGAAGGCTTTTCTTCTGGCCTTAGTGACTCTAGTCTGAAGATCCAGATTTCGGCACGGTCATTTCCTATTTATGGATTTGGCTTCTAATATTTTCGTCTGGAAATGTTAAAAAAAAGTTTTTATTCCAAGCCATTTTGCTCACATGTCCTCCTTGCAAATATATTTTGCCTGCCTGGTATTTGACTTTAGTGCTCAGAGTCCTTTTATGAAGCTCCTTTTGAGCCGCTTGAGTAAAGTCTCATACACGTTTATTATAATTAAAGGTAGAATTTTTTTCTCCCTTATAGTGGCAATACTCACAAGTGGGATGTTCCTTCTAGGTTGGACAAGAAGCTCCCCCTTCTTTGAAAGATAAATGCGTACCCCGCCTGCTGCCCCTATATAACCTGTATCTTAGAGGAGAACTCTAGTTCTTCTTGTACCGGCAACGGGACGGACAAGATCCAGGTGGAGAATGTTGCGGTCAGCACAGGCTGCTGATCGGGGAGGTGAGTGAACCGATAGCTCCCTGGGCGGGAGCTGAGCAGCAAGGCATACTTCTGGGTTTGCGTTATGGAACGCGACCGGAAATCAGTCTATTTGTGGCATCACTGGGGGGTCCCGGGCGGATCTCCCACTAAGAATCTTATACGCATGCGCACAGCAGTGGAACGCTCACCTGGGAGTTTTTGCGTTCCACTTAACTCCGAATCGTGCTACTGCGCATGCGCAAAACGGTGTCCATAATTTTGGCGCCAAATTTAATAATTTGTTTGGCTATAAAGCTGTGCAGAGCCTGTCTGACCCCAACAATGGGTGAACAGTCCTGGTTCTCCATGTCACCAGTCCTCCTACATGGTTGTGAGGTTTAACTCTTTAAACTCCCTTTGACACCAGTCACTATTGCATGCGTCTAAAAAAAATATATATATATTTTTTTCCAGCTATGTCCAGTCCTATTTCTCCGGATAAGGCTGATAAAGAAAAAATGTCAGCACTTATGTTGTCTGGAATGTGCAGTCCCTCTACCTGACGGATGTCGTAAAAAGACCTGCAATCAGAGCTCCACGGAATTGCTAGAGAAAGTCAAGCAAACTGATGTCATCCTTCCTGTGCTGGTTCCAGGAAAATTTGTCCCAGACCTTTGAATCTTTCAAAGATACCGTAAAGAAAGAACCAGGTATCCAGGAGAAGCAGACAAAGAAACATAGGGGAGAGAGATCTCCTTCCCTGTCTGATCTCTCATCAGGGGAATTTTCATTTTCTGAGGAAGGTTTTCCATCAGAAAAGCTTTAAAAGTTTATAAAAGAAGTCGTGACAGCTGTACAGGAACGTGAACCTACCAAGGGTAAGGTAAAAGGCTTCCCGATGCTTCCCAAACTAATGGATCTTCTTCAAAGAGAATGGAAGAATCCTGAAAGACGTGCGTTTATTTCAAAGCATTTCAAACTTATTTTCAAACTACAGTCTGAAGAGAAATGGGAGGTCTTCCCAAGGTTGACATTCAGATAGCCTAACTATCAAAGAAGACCACTAGACCCATTGGGGAGGTCCCTGGATTGAAGGACCCCATGGACAAGCGAGCCAAAACTTTGTGTAGCAGGATCTTCCAGGCTACCAATGCAGAGCCGAAATAGCAGGCTCAGCAGTTCTTAGAGCACAGAGCGTTTGGCTCCAAGCCCTAGAAGAGTCTCTTATGGGAAAGTCTGAGAACGACCCTGCCCAGCTCCTGTTCCTCCTGAAACTATATATCGAGTTTCTTTCGGATGCCTCTGAGATTCTATGTTTATACGCCAGAATCATGGGCTTGTCCTCAGTGGCCAGAAGAGCCCTATGGCTAAGAACATGGAAAGCTGATTCAGCCTCTAAAGCAGCCTTGTGTGAACTTCCCCTCGAAAGGAACAAGCTTTTGGAAGACATTAGGCAAATTTCTGAAACAAAGAAGGCTCTAGCTCAGGATTCGAGACCTCAAAAATATAAAAGATTTCAGTTCAGGGGTCAGAGTTCCTTTCGTTACCAAGGACGATTTCGTAGATTTCAGAAACAAGGTGAAACCGGTAGTCAATGGTCTAGACAAGCAGGACAAAAAGAGAACATTTTGACGCCAAGAGGGTAGGAGAAAGTCTTCATTTCTTCGCTCACGAATGGAAAAAGAGAACGTCAAACTGTTTGATTCTAAGAACCATTTCAGAAGATTACAAAATCAAGTTTTCTGCAATACCACAACCATCTTTCCTGCTGTCAAGTTATCTGTCGATAAAGAAATCGGAGGCACTCCTGGCAGAATCTCTTATCCTTTTACGCAAGGATGTGATAGAGAAGGTACCCAAGCAAGGGGAATTTCAGGGAGTTTACTCTAGCCTGTTCTTGGTGCAAAAAGCAGACTGATACTTCCGGCCTATCCTAGACCTCAAGAAGGTCAACACTTGCATACTGTTTCAAAACATTTTGTATGGAAAATATTATGTCTGTCACTCACATCCTTCAAAAGGGGGAATTCATGGCAAAATTAGACCTGAAAGATGCCTACCTCTATGTACCGGAAGTTCCTCAGATTTGCAGTCTTAACGGGAAGGCTAAGAATTCTCCACTTTCAGTTCAAGGCGCTACCTTTTGGCCTGTCATCAGCTCCTCGCATATTTACAAAAATCCTGGCTCCCATAGCAGTAGCTTTCCGCCTGAGAGGTATCGCTACAGTTCCGTACCTGGACGATTGGTTCTTGAAAGCCCAATCAGTACAGCTACTAAGATCACACCTCGAGATCGCTATAAAAGTTTTTTAAAAGAACATGGTTTGTTCCTAAACCTAAAGTCCAAGGTGATTCCTTCAATAAGTCTTGAATTCCTTGGACTTCGGGTAGACTCAAGGTCCCTTTCTCTTTTCCTTCCAAGGTCGAAACAAAGACTGATTTACAAAGCCTTTTCAGGTCTAGAGTCACTAGAGTCTAGAGTCTTTCGGTCCAATTATCGCCAATCGGGCGAGGATCCAGTCAGACAATGTCACAACAGTGGCTTACGTAAATCACCAAGGAGGCACAAGGGTGAAAGCTCTGCAGGACCTATGCTTGATTGGGCCCAATCAAGACTTATCGCAATCTCGGCTACTCATATCAGAGGGTCTCTGAACATAATCGCAGACTACCTCAGAAAGCGTCATTGGTCTCAGGCAGACTTGTCCCTCTCAAACCAAGTTTTCTTGGAGTTGGTTACCCGCTTCGGCCTTCCGGATATCGACCTTATGGCCACGAGAAGAAACAGGAAAGTTCAGACTTTTGCTTCCCTCCAAGCACGAGATTGCCCAGACTTCTTAGATGGCCTATCGATCACTTGGAACTACAACATGGGTTACGTTTTCCCTCCAATAGCTATAATTCCGAGGGTTGTTCAGAAGATAAGCTGGGAGAAAGCAAGGATTCTAGCCATCCTGCCCTTCTGGCCGAACAGAAGTTGGTTTTCAGTAGTGGAATACATGACAATCTCACGTTGGTCTCTCCCAACGTCATAGATCATGTGACTCTTCCCATAGAAACCCTGGAAACGTTCCACCTGACGGCATGGCTGTTGCAAGGTTGATCCTCCAAGAGCAAGGACTTTTAGACCGTTTGTGTGACGTTTTTCTGTCTTCAGTCCGCTTGTCAACTGCAAGAATTTATTTTAGGGTTTGGATGAAGTTCAGGACCTGGTGTTCCATTCAGGGTTCGGATCCTGCCAGAGCATCAATCCCGGCTTTCTTTTTTGCAGGATGGTTTTGAAGCCGGCCTAGGGGTCTCTACACTCAAGGGCCAGATTTCAGCATTAAGTCACTTTCTGGTTCGTGACATTGCCTCAGACTTGCTTATCTGCAGGTTTTTTAAATCCATACGTCTGAAGAGTCCTCCCAAGATCTCACCTTACGGTAAGTAAAAATTCTGTTTTATGATCAAAACCATGTCTGAGGTGGGTTCTATGTGTAGCCCTTAAATCTATTAATTATCTGCATATCAGGTGAGACTGAGGTTAGTAGGGAACCAGAGATCTGGTTCCAGTGTCTGCTCTTTGGTGCCATCCAATGGTTTACATGAGAAAATACTGCTACTTAAGGATGAACCTAGGTTTAAGTGTTTTGGTTACAGACCAATCACCATTTTAGGCCAACAGTCAGGTGGTCAGTCTGTGTATCACTAGTCTAAAATTCCAGATGGATAACATAAAATTGTTCCTCACGAGTACTGTTTCGGATGGAGTCCCCCAAGGTTCTGGCTTGGTCTCCTATTTTCTCTTTGTACTTGCCTCTCTTGGCAAACTTATTACATCTTTTGGATTCCACTACCACTTGTACGCTGATGGCACCCAGTTATATCTCTCCTCCCCGGACCTCTCCCCCAATCTCACTAAAACTGAGCTCCTTGTCTTTCCTCCTCCTAAAACTGATCCTCCTCTTTCGCGCTCCCTTCAAGTTAGTGGTACCCACATCAGTCCATCTTTGCAAGCATGCTGTCTTGGCGTCATACTTGATTCTGGCCTCACCTTTGAGCCTCACATCCAGCATGTTGCCAAATCCTGTAGATTCCATCTTAAAAACATAGCCCGCATCCGCCCCTTTCTTAAGCAAGATGCTACCAAGGAGCTTGTCCATGCTCTAGTAATTTCCCGCATGGATTATTGTAACCCTCTCCTGATTGGTCTTCCCAAAAGCCGTCCATAATGAACGCTGCTGCCAGACTGATTTTCCTCTCTAGTCTGTTCTCTCACCCCTCTGCCAGTCCTTACATTGGCTTCCTGTTTGCTATAAGAGTCAATTCATGGTACTAATTCACACCTATAAAGCAATGAACAACTCTAGCCCCTCTTATTTCTTCACAGATCCATAGGTATGTCCCTTCTCGGTCTCTCCGCTCTGCCCGTGACCACCTACTGTTCATTGTCCGCACCGGTACGGCCAACTCACGCTTGCAGGACTTCTCGCGGGCGGCTCCCTTCCTATGGAATAGCCTGCCTACCGCCATCAGAATCTCCCCTAGCCTTGCATCTTTTAAGAAGTGCCTTAAAACCCATCTCTTTAGTAAAGCTTATGGCCTCCGAGACTAACCTCTACCTCACATACCCCTCTCTTGCTCTGTCCCACTTTATTTAACTGCAAATTCCTGTCCTAATGTGTTTTATACCCCACTTCCTATAGAATGTAAGCTCAATTGAGCAGGGTCCTCTTCAACCTATTGTTCCCGTAAGTTTTTTGTAATTGTCCTATTTATAGTTAAATCCTCCTCTCATAATATTGTAAAGCGCTGCGAAATCTGTTGGCGCTATATAAATGGCAATAATAAATAGTACATTAAGACAACCAAAAACTATAATGCATAACACAGGTGTATTGTTGGTCTTGTATCTAAACAATTGGCTTTTGAAAGCCAACTCCCGTACCAAGGAACCCTTGAGATCTTTAAGTTGACTGATACCAGCACAGCAAGGAATGATATTGGGACTATGTAAAGAGCCTTAAAAGTGCATGCTAGATCAAAACTGAGCCCTAATCTAGCAGAGGTAGAAAACACTTTGATCAACTATGGCCTGTTCATGCAGTCTTCCGTGACCACTGTCTCTTTGGTACATTCCACACTGCAGAAAAAAACAAGGATAAATTGTACATCTTTGTTGGTTCACTTGATGTTTTGATGACATCTGACATCAGCAAACTGCATAAACCAGCAAAGATCATAACTTGGCAATCAAACCTTTGAATTCAGCCACACCTGTCCTAAATGATCTGTTTTCCAACACATTAGAGGTTGTACATTGCTCCTACCTTTCTCCTACTGAACTGGCAAGACACTATTGAATCATGGGCAGTGTGTTAAAAAAACAAAAAAAAAAACTTTTCGGTTCCAGTTGATGGCCTGAAGGCTGAAAGAAAGAATTTGGAAACCATGCCACATTCTGACCGCAAAAGAAAATGTATACATTTGTTAAAAACAATGGATTAAAAGATATCCTCCTATTAATGTGTAGCTTGAGACCCTCTGTATCTAAGAAGTCCAAAATCTAGTCGACTGAAGACTGCTCAAAAATGTGCAATAGATGTACAAATTGCTTGGCTGCTTTTCAAAACCAGTCCCTTTTAAGAACATCCAGAGGTATGTAGGTTGTCTATCCGGAATTCTCCTCCGTTTGACCTTTAGGATTTAAACCCGACTTTTCAGCCCTTTCTGGGTTTATTATTAGCCAAGACCGCCTTCTTGGTAACCATCACACTGTCCCAAGGAATATAATTTCATGCCGCCTTTTGTAGTATTTCCTTCAGAACAGTAAAAAAAAAAAAAAAAATTTTTTAAATGTCTCTCCTGCTCCTTTTTTCTGGAGTTTAGCCCTAGTCCCAAGTTGCACTCCTCCATGGATCCCAAGATATATTTCCCACTCTGTACCTGAATCTAAAGAATGGATGGGAAGAGGTGTGGGGTTTTATTTATTTATTTATTTAAAATCTGATTGAAAAGATGCTTCTATTTGAACTGGGCTAAACATTACTGTTATTTTGAAAATCTTTAGTGAATAATTGTGGAAAAACAACCAGAATCCCCATTTAATAACTTTAGCAGTCAGCTTCGTCTTTTTCTTAAAAGGTGGTCAATCTTCTCCTGAGGATATAGGAGCTCTCTCCGTGAGAGCAATGGTTCCTCCAGGGCAGAGTGCACCAATGTCCATTCTGCATGTTGTCTGCAAAGCAGATCAGAAAATACCATATCTTTAACAAGCTTTAGGAGGCATAGTCTGTCTTGCTAAGTGTGCTGCCTTCTGGATTTATGAACAAATTCCATGTACATATTTTGTTTTTCCATTTCTAATCAACATGTGTTAAACCTACGAGTCTTTTTTTTTAAAATTTTTTAAAAATTTTTTTTTTTTTTTTTAATTTTGAAACCGTACTTGTTTAAACAAAAGAGGGTTTTGAACATCAAAGTTTAACATCTGTCTTGTCAAAGCCACTTGAGCCACTGTTAGGATGACTGTTGCCAAGTTCTTGTACTTGATTTTTCAGTTAAAACACACTGCAGCCACTTATAGATTTCCTCCCCATTGAATAGTCCCTTCTGAAATTAGTGGGTTCACACACAAAAATTAGTGGAGTCAGTTGCAAAAATTAAGGAACACTCTATTTACTGTAACCACTTAATTGGATTGAAGTTGTTATGGTGCAAGGAAGTGCCCGGGTATCCGCTTACCTCAAACAGTTTAAAACTCCTAAAGTGACACTATAGTCACCAGAACAGCTACAGCTTAATGTAATTGTTCTGGTGAGTATAATAGCTCCCTTCAGGCATTTTCATGTAAACACTGCCTTTTCACAGAAAAGGCAGTGTTTACATATCCCCTAGGGACACCTCCAAGTGGCCACTCCTCAGGTACTGGAGGGGCTTCCTGGCTCAGGGCTGCACAGTAGACAGCCCTGCCGTTCAGCGTCCCCACGCTCTGCATGGACGCTGAATTTTCCTCATAGAAATAAATTGATACAATTCATCTCTATGAAGAGGTGCTGATTGGCCAAAATGGCATTTGGCCCCACCCTGTGCCGATTTTAGCCAATTCAATATTTTCCCTATGGGAAAGCATTGGATTGGCTAAAAATCTGCCATTTTGATGATGTCATAAAGGGGTCGGAGCCAGTGCTGGCAGACCTGCACAGCACTGGAGCAAAGGAGAGTTATATATTGTGTTAAGGGGGGGAGCAAGCCACCGAAATGGCGGGTTTAGCACTATAGGGTCAGGAATACAGGTTTGTGTTTCTGACCCTATAGTGTTCCTTTAAGAACCCCGAAGTGTTGAATCAAGCAACCGATCGCTCTGCTTAATTCAACACTTTAGAGGTAATTTGTTTAAGGTGGCATTCGGTATCTCCTCGCACTGTAACTTAATTTTGATGAAATTATGGTGCATGTGGGGGGTCCCATTAAGGAAACACAAACTTAAATGAAGTCATGCAGCAACTGTAGTAAAATTAAAATAAAACAATGTGTGTGTCTGTCAGTCAGTGTCAAATCGGTGAGTACGTGTGTGTTTCTGTCAGTGATTGTGTTTGTTTAGTTGACCAGTCCCCCTCCAATCACCTGGGTAAAAAAATGGATTTTGCCTTAAATATGTGCAGTGTCCCTGGTGTATATTTTGTAGAGAATTGGCCGTTAGTAGTGTCATTGTAATCCTTCTACTATTCTGATGTCCATAAACCAATTTTAGTTTGTGTGAGTCCAGATTGTTAAAGGCTTATATTTACAATAATTTTGTTTTGTCTTATCTCTTGGTTGTATATAATCTTTTATAACTGAAATATGTAACTTTCTTCTTTTGTGCAGTCCCCCACCCCAGACGGAGCGAGCTTTCCGTCTAGAGGCTGTGAGATCCATCTTCCTGTCTGCCTACAATACCACCATAAGCCAGAAATCCTCATCCCAGAGCCCGTCTGGAGCAATCGGTGGCCTTTTGGAACAATTTGCACGTGGCGTAGGACTTAGAGGACCCAGCACAATAGTGTGACACAGACTGTCTGAGTTGAGGACCCTGGAATCTATAAGCCATATGTAAAGTTAATATTTACAATCTAGAAGCCATACAGACGACCCCCAGCCCCTATCTGAACATCCTTCCATCACATTGGACATAATTTGTATATCTTCCCTTTGAATTACTGTGCTGCTATAGGTCACTTCTGTTCAGCAAGGTGCTCTGCTGCTGGGAATGTTAAAGTCGGACTTCTTGTTAAACAGATCTGAGCATAAAGATCAAAGGGGAATGTTAAGGGCTGACACTGAATTTTATTTATTTTATTTTACACTTTTTTTTTTCTTTTTTTTTTAACCTACCACATCAACTGCTGCAATTTATCTCACAACCCATATATGCAAGTCTTGTGTATTAGCGAATGATAACCACTTCTTGCCCCCAGCAATCATTCCACTGTTTGCATTGGTTTGGTTTATTTTATTGTAGTGCAACTCTTATCCTGCATAACCATCATTGCATTGAAAAGAAATTGGTTCTTTATCCCCAGTAGCCTTTGAAGGCTAAATCAGTTGCCTATATCCAGGGATCAGAGATGCTTTAAAGAAAGTCATCAAGCACCATATCCACTACAGCGCATTATAGTGGTTGGAACACCAAGAGTGTCTTTCTCCCTCCCAGGGTAGCGAAACCATCTGACAGCTTACCTGATTTCTGCCACAGTCTTCTCTTCCAGGAGAGCCGGAGACTCCCTGCATTGAGCTAAACAGAGTAGAGCTGCAGGGATTAGCTCATTGGCTGAGGGTAATCAGCTGACACTCTCAGCCAATGAGCAGAGTCATACACTTCAGGACTTTGCTCAGGGAAGTTAATGTATGCTCCATGTAGAAGCTTCCAATTCTCACTGATGCTATGACAGATGCCAGGCTAACCTTAATTTATCAAACAGTTTGACTACTTATCCTGACAGTGGTTATGGTGCTTCGAATATTCCTTTAAAAATATATCAAGACCGTGCACTGAAAATATCCTGAACCCTGCAGCCATATAGCCGCTGTTTCCTTAATAAAACAAGTTTGTGTTTTTTTTTGTTTGTTTTTTTTTGTTTGTTTTTTTAACTAGAGCTCCCCCATTTGCCTTTGACAGTTTGGCTGATAGCAATGTAAGTTGTGGTCTAACCATAAGCAGTTTGCCGGTTCCTTTTCCTTTTTTCTTTTTTTTTTTTTTTTTTATAGATGACATAACTTTTATTTTTAAGTTGACTGAGATGTACTGTTATCACTGTTAACAAGTGATTATAAAGTCACTACTCTATCTAAACTAGGATATAAAGTAAGGATGGCCAAAAGATAAAACCTATTTTACCGCTGGCAAAGCAAGAGTTGTTATAGTTCTGCAACCACTGGCGTTTACCTTTTGACATCCCGTAATATAATTTACTGAAATATTCTCTCCATACTAAAAACAGCTTATTTGTAAACCTTTTCAGATCTTCATGGCATACATAGCTCCGAAACCTAGTTTCTCTTAGTTTCTCTATTTTTGGGTGCATATGACCATGTATATATTTCCTTTGCATCACTTTCGGCTTTTACCATGCCAAAATACATGTTGAATGTGATATACTCCATAGAGAAGAAACATGTATCACATTGAGCTGCCTAAAAATGAAGATCTAAAACTGCTTTGCTTTCCAGGTTTTTGAGGGAATGCTCCATAAACAGTACAGCTTGAAGTAGTGGTTATGGTGCCAAGAAGGCCCTGGCATCTTCCCAAACTAAGAAGTCATTCTATTGGAAACACTTCTGCAAATTTCTTGGATCCTGTTAAACACCACCAGCAGGACTGAGTGCTTTCAGACAATGAGAGCGGTGCTTTATTGGGCCGTGCCCACTTGGGGAGACATCTATCTGGCTTCTCTTACTGGAGGAGCAAGATGCAGTGTGTCAAACTATACTAAAATATGAAGGGCACTTTTGGCACCATAACTACTACAAACGGCTGTAGTGGTTCTGTTGTATGGAATGTTGCAGTAAAGGCTTTATTCCTCGGTTTGGTAATGTAGATTATATCTAACCCATATGAATGTTAACAGAGAATTTATTTTTTTATCTTTTATAGTAATTTCATTCTTCTAATGTAATTAATATAATCTGAATCTCTACATTGCTATATGGAACAAAGTTTGATTACAATGAGAAAAGTGAACGTATCGTACTTTCAAAAGGGATTTACTCGGGACAGTCACTCTCACCACTGTGCCCTTAATAGTGCAACAGATCTAAATGCCCTAGGTCACTGAAGGATTGTGCTGTTAGAGTTTGCTAATATGACTTTTTTTTTTTTTTTAATGCCTAATTACTGGATTATGAACTCAATCACTTTTTTTCTGTTTCACAATCTTTGCAATCTTTTTTTATAAATCTGTAAGAAGCAATCTATTAAGCTGTGAAATAATCACTTTTCGTCTTTTACCTCACTTTATCTTTTGTTTAGATGGAAATATCAGAAAATCTACTTTTTACAGCTCATTGTTTTCAGCTACTTGCAACAGTATTCGATACACCATTTAAGTGCATATGCCGATGTGCTTTAAAGGCTTATTTTGAGGGTCAGTGCTTTTTATGGAGGTACCAAACCCCAAATTAAATAGGTTCAACATAATAAGCTTATTGTTTGCCTTGCATAATGTTAACTGAAGCAAGAAATTAACCAATTAACCATGTCTCTGCTAGGAGCAAAAATTGGTAATCTACATTGAAAATTATGGTGGCTAATAGACATTTGTTTTTTAATCTGGTGCCTAACTCTTTAAATCCTAAATTAATATTGAGCCATACTATAAAGTACTCAGTAACTCTATTTGTTTTAATAAATTACGTATATGACAAAATAAAAGTAAGCAGTACAGTAAAAACATTGACACTATCCTATTTTAAAATTGACCCACTGTTCACGGATGTCATGCATAGTCTTTGCATGACATCCGTATATATACATTTGGCCGACTTGCTCTGTCATGCTTTAATGAGGGTGTCTGTCAGTCATTGAACTGTGCAGAATGGTTGATGTAGATCATTGAGACCAGCAGACCAATGGCATAGCTCCTAGACCCTGATGCTGAACAGAAAGTGCTTCTGGGAAGAGTCTACTGCTCAACTGTTGAACATTAAATTGTTCAATTTTAAAAAAAGAATATTGCACTTTTTTGCATGACTGTTTACATGACTTTTACTTTGTTTTATATAAGCAATTTACTTTGAAAAAAAAATAATTACTAGTGTTCCTTTAAGGATTGATTCATTATAAGTCATTAACATTGTATACATTTTATGGCCACCATTGCCCTGTTAAATTAAAAGGTCTGGTTGCTGGAAACCATATGCTTATGATGGGTAGTATCAAATGATGATATTGGTTATCTCTTGACTCGAGTTGTACAATTTTAAATAATCTGTCTTTTTTTTTTTTTTTATAACCAATCCTGAATAAAGTTGTTTTTAAAAAAAGTCTTTATTTTTATATATATATTTATTTTTTTAAACCATTAAGCCTACTGATCTGAGATATTGTTAAACTAAATAGATTGCTTCACTAAATGGTAAATGGTGGAGAACTGAAAACCCCATTGCTGCTACATTTGCAATTCAGGTCTTCAATACACTACTTTTCTGTGTTTAGTGCATAACATCTAGTGTATGTATCCAAAGTACAAACAACCTTCACCACAAAACTATATTGTATGGGGGATTATGAAAAAGTAATGAAGCAATACTTCTCTAAAAAACAGTTTCCCTTAGATTACTTCCCAGGTAGTAATCCCTTGAATATATATGAAAAAAATATATATGTATATTACAAAGAGTGAGAGTGGGATACAGCTGTAAACATCTAGAAACAAAAAGATAGAAAATAGAGCGTAATACAGTATATAAATTATTTGTGCTGTGATGTAATACTCACAGGAGTATAGTAGATCTGTGCTCCAAAGGTACCTCCCCCAATAGATATATTTCCAAAGTGTAGTTTATTTTCCATCTCTGTGGGAGACTTCCCTACAGAAGGTGGTCTGGGTCTTGCTGGAAGACCTACTTAAAGATAGCTTGAATAGGATTCTAGGGTTTTAACTGTAGCAACTATAATGTTAGGAATGTCCTACTTCCTCTATCGTAAGTGGTCAAACTGTTCTACAAGCGTTTGACTTCTCCATCTCTTATGATGGGAGGCTCCTGTTGGCTCTTCTGAGCAAAGCACTGCAGAGCAGGGCTACCGTATTAGGTGAAGGTGTTGACCACGTACAATGAGTAAAGCCCTGCACAGCTAGGCTTAGCTCAGAGCTTCTGGTGGAAAATATTTGACATGGGGAGGTTAAAAAAAAATAAATAAAAAAAAATCCTTCAGACTTTGTAAATACATGGGCAAAGTTTTGGGAAAAAACAAAACCATACGACCACAAACCCAGACATGCTCTGGGATAGATACATTTGTCCTTGCACAGGGCACATTTATCTTGTCAAAACTTTTATTATGAAAAGAGATACAAACAATTTTTATTTTTTTTTAAGTTTATTGACCTTATTAAAGGGACACTATCGTCACCTGAGCAACTTTAGCTTAAGGAAGCAGTTTTGGTGTATAGAACATACCCCTGCAGCCTCACTGCTCAATCCTCTGCCATTTGGGAGTTAAATCCCTTTGTTTATGAACCCTAAACACACCCTAAAGTTCAATTTAGAGATTGAGATACAATTATTTAAGGTAAATTACATCTGTTTGAAAGTGAAACCATTTTTTTTTCATGCAGGCTCTGTCAATCATAGCCAGGGGAGGTGTGGCTAGGGCTGCATAAACAGAAACAAAGTGATTTAACTCCTAAATGACAGTGAAATTGCAGGGGAATGATCTATACATTAAAACTGCTTTATTTAGCTAAAGTAATTTAGATGACTATGGTGTTCCTTTAATAGATGGTACTGTCACATAGAATGTATTATTCATTTAAATTAGTCAAACGAATAAACCACTATAGCAAAGCTCTAATATCATTTAAAATGAAATGGTGATTAAAGGACCTATTTAAGATCCTTAGACATCACAATAAAGTGAATAATTTTAATCACTACTTTTTAGTGCTGTGAAGGTGAGAATAAAATCTTGTAGTATGTGGCATTTACAGATGAATAACCGTGATTGTCAAAATACTATTGCCATTACACTGTGCTGTGGTAGTTATAGTGATTGGAGTTCCCATTTAAATTATATCAACATAAAGCAGTTTTGTGTATAATTACTGGGATATGCCATCAGGTAGGACTAAGGAAAACTGTGCGTGTACATGCAATGCTCTGTATTTAAAAAAAAAAAAAAAAAATTGGGTCAACACTCTGCAGGAAGTGCTGCAAGTGTGTTATGTTAATGGGTTTTACTTTGACAAGAATAATTGCAGCACGTTTTACTGGTCCATGATGTGTCTGTGTGTATGGATGCAGGGATGTATTTTTCTCAAGTGTCTGTTTGCAGGATTGTTTTTGTGTGGAGGGTCCACATAACACAAGTCCACTTTCCACTTCCTAATAGTTGCCTATTCTCCTCCCTACTCCGTACCTGTAGCCTACTCCCTCCCTCTCCTGCTTAGTAACAGTAATCAATTTGCTCCTTTGCCCAACACTTTTTCGGGGGGTATAGCAGGATGCCTCGACATCGAGGTATCGCTGCAATACTCTTAGAGCGGCTTCCAGTGCTTTAAGGGGGGGTATCGCTGCAATACTCTTAGAGCGGCTTCCAGCGCTCATATTTGCCGTGGACGTACAGGGTACGTCAGCAGTTATTAACGTTTTTTGTCTGACCTTACCTGTACGTTCGCGGTCACTAAGGAGTTAAAGTTGAATTCTCCTCCTTTAAAGGAAAACTAGTGCCAAGTGCTTCCAGTTCAGCTATTTTGGCCTTAAAAGAATACTCAAAACAACTAAAATACTTCAGCAAGGTATTTTTTTTCTTAATTTTACAGATTTACAGTGCAGATTTTAAAACAATTGACATTTTATGAATTAACTTGGTTACACCCCCTGGCTTTCAAGCAGACAGCATGTCCTGTTACTTCCTGATTTGGTTAGCTCACAGGAACTAAAGTCAAGAGACAGGTATTGCTAACAGCACCTGCCTTGCAAAGATTTCTCATTGAGCCGCATTTGGGAAGTCTGTGATTGGACAGCCACAGAAAGTCTGGGTGGGGTTAGGAGCTGACTTGCACATGCTGCAGACATGAGATCTGCAGCTTTTGCAGGCTGATTTTAGATAAACCCCAAATGGAAAAATGAATTACCATATATACTCAAGTATAATACAGACCAGAACCGCCGGGCTCATTACAAGCCCGGCTGTCTTGTTGGGGGCTGGCAGCAAGCTGTTACATACCTTTGTAGCCGCTCCGTGCAGCTCCCCTGTCAGCTCCCAGTGTAAATCTCGCGACACATGCGGCCGTCAGAACGTTGCCACGGTTTACTGTGGCAACGCTCAGCGCTGCACGCAAACCGCGAGATTTACACTGGGAGCTGACAGGGGAGCTGCACGGAGCTGCTACAAAGGTATGTAACAGCTTGCCGGCTTCCCCCCTGCACAGCCTATGCCACTGGACCACCAGGGATTAAGAGAGCCCCCCTCCCTGCCCAGGTAACCAGCAGGGAGGGGGGACAAAAATAAATATTAAATAATAAAATAAAAAAATTAAAATAAAAATGCTCCCCCCCCCGCCCCCACCCAGTTCACACACACTCTACATTATATACACAGTGTGTATGTGTATATAATGCAGAGTGTGTGTGTGTGTGTGTGTGTGTGATATATATATATATATATATATATATAATGTATATATAAATAATGCAGATTGTGTGTGTGCATATATAATGATTTTTTTATTTGGGCAGTGGAGTGTCGCTTTAAACTGAAATTCACTTGGAATTCCCAGAAATTCTCTCTTTAGTGAAACACCCTGATATTGTGTTAGCAGGCCTCGAGTTTCACTTGAATGTTCACTATTGTGTTAAAAGGAACACTCCGGACACGTAAACCACTTGCTGTAGCCGTACCTGTGTAGACAAGGAGCAGAGCAGACCTGTAAGTAAGTCTCACCTCTGACAGTATCTAGATGCACAGAAACATTGAGACATTAAGAAATAATGTGCTCACACATGTCAGTCAATGTAGAATTAACAGGGCATTCGTAGAGCCTTGTTTCTACACAGTATCACTACTAGCCTGCCCCCCACAGACCTGGCTGTGACACTGGGATTTCAGAAGACTCGATCAGTGATATATGGAAAAGATAATAACAGTGGGGAAGGACTGACTTGCACATGCTGCAGCCATGAGATCTGCAGCTTTTGCAGGCTGATTTTAGATAAACCCCAAATGGAAAAATGAATTACCATTTATACTCGAGTATAAGTCGAGTTTTTCAGCACTTTTTTTGTGCTGAAAAAGCCCCACTTGACTTATACTCGAGTCAAGATCTGTATTATGGCAACTTACATTGCTATAATACAGACCAGGACCGCCGGGCTCATTACAAGCCTGGCTGTCTTGTTGGGGGCTGGCAGCAAGCTGTTACATACCTTTGTAGCCGCTCCGTGCAGCTCCCCTGTCAGCTCCCAGTGTAAATCTCGCGACACATGCGGCCGTCAGAACGTTGCCACGGTTTACTGTGGCAACGCTCAGCGCTGCACGCAAACCGCGAGATTTACACTGGGAGCTGACAGGGGAGCTGCACGGAGCTGCTACAAAGGTATGTAACAGCTTGCCGGCTTCCCCCCTGCACAGCCTATGCCACTGGACCACCAGGGATTAAGAGAGCCCCCCTCCCTGCCCAGGTAACCAGCAGGGAGGGGGGACAAAAATAAATATTAAATAATAAAATAAAAAAATTAAAATAAAAATGCTCCCCCCCCCGCCCCCACCCAGTTCACACACACTCTACATTATATACACAGTGTGTATGTGTATATAATGCAGAGTGTGTGTGTGTGTGTGTGTGTGTGATATATATATATATATATATATATATAATGTATATATAAATAATGCAGATTGTGTGTGTGCATATATAATGATTTTTTTATTTGGGCAGTGGAGTGTCGCTTTAAACTGAAATTCACTTGGAATTCCCAGAAATTCTCTCTTTAGTGAAACACCCTGATATTGTGTTAGCAGGCCTCGAGTTTCACTTGAATGTTCACTATTGTGTTAAAAGGAACACTCCGGACACGTAAACCATTTGCTGTAGCCGTACCTGTGTAGACAAGGAGCAGAGCAGACCTGTAAGTAAGTCTCACCTCTGACAGTATCTAGATGCACAGAAACATTGAGACATTAAGAAATAATGTGCTCGCACATGTCAGTCAATGTAGAATTAACAGGGCATTCGTAGAGCCTTGTTTCTACACAGTATCACTACTAGCCTGCCCACCACAGACCTGGCTGTGACAC